GATGTGACAGAAATCTGTGGGGGAAGCAGTGTGCTGGGGACAGGCAGGCTTCTAATACAGCCTCGCTCACCTGGAACACAGGTCCGAACAGGTGTGGCAGGAGGCACAGCGGGTACACCCAAGCACACAAGTGTGGCCGCCCAGGCACAAATCCCAGCTCCCGCCTCATCTGCTCTGTGACCTTGGGCGTATTTCTTAACGCAGCGGAGCCTCAGCGTCCTTATCCAAAAACCAGGAAAAAGGAATGGTGCCCATTTCACAGCACCCTGGGGAAAATTAAATGGCTTAGTATAACCTATGCCAGGAGAACAATGCCTGGTCCCTTGCAAGCAGCGTGGACGTGTTAGGTACGACTGTGAGAGCTGAGTTTATCGTTCTACCAAGTTTTATTTTAGAAACTAGTTTTCACTGCCTTCTTCGAGCACAAACGGGACACGCCTTAACAGCCCCCTGATACGTAGAGCTCACTCTTAGGAAGTCAACTGCTCGCCTCTACCGTCTGCCCGGGGAGAGGGGGAGGGGCGCAAAGAGCATCTTGGAGCCCCGCCCCGTGCCAGCTGTGCCAGGGTGGGGCGGGAGGCCTCGCCTCACTCCTTCAGAGGCTGAGCGCCCACCCAGGCGGGGCCCAGGGGAGGCCGTGAAAAGCCAGCAGGACAGCAGGTCCCAAGGCCGAGAGAGGAACAGCCAGAAGAGCTCTTTTGTTGGTGGTGGTTGATGGTCTCCCACGTGCAAATGAGAACTGGGAGAAGTTTAAAATGAGGGCGAGGCGGCGACAAGGCAGGAACCTCAGCAGCAGGGAGACAAAGAACATCTATTTCCTTTAAAAAAAAAAAAAAGTCATGTGTCTTTTCTTTTTTAAGATTTTATTTATTTCTTTGAAGGGAAGGGAGGGAGAGAAATGTCGGTGCGAGAGATGTCTATGGGTTGCCTCTCGCAGGCCCCCAGCTGGGGACCTGGCCCACAACCCAGGCATGTGTCCTGACTGGGAATCGAACCAGGGACCGATGTGGTTCGCAGGCTGGCGCTCAATCCACTGAGCCACACCAGCCAGGGCTCATGTGTCTTTCTAAGTGCTGTCGGCACTGTTGTCAGCACCACCAGGTCTCAGTCCTACAGAAATGACAACGGCCCTGCACCGGGACTCACACCAGGGCCCCTGTGCCCCGGCTGATAGGGAAAGGCAACGTGGCTGTACTTTCAACAGCTGAGAGGCTGTGTAGCTATGGTGGAGCCACACCTCGGAGCACTATGCAGCCAGGAAAAAGGCTGACGGTACCTCGTTAGGCAAACACAGAGAACAGAAGGCTGAGATCGAAATGTGTTTGCCAGGATCCTACACGTGTGTTGTTTTTTTTTTTTTTTTCCAATCCTCACCAGAGGACATTTTTTCATTGCTTTTTAGAGAGGGGAAGGGAAAGAGAGGTATCAATCGGTTGCCTCTCGTAGGCACCCGGACTGGGGATCTTACACGCCTGGACCGGGGATCGAACCTGCAACCTTTCAGTGTATGGGACGACGCGCCAGCCAACTGAGCCGTCTCTAAAAGCGTTCTGTGAAGGCCCACATGGAAGCACACCCATGCACGCAAGCCCATTAGAAGGCTGGGAAGAGTCACGCTGGCATAGGGTGACGTGGTTAGCCAGGGGAGGGGAAGGCTTGCACATTCTGTCCACACACTTCTGCATTGTTTGTGGAGTTTCACAACGGGGCCCCCTGGCCGCCTGGGACTGTGTGGGAGAGGGCCGGGAGCCGGCGGCCTGGATGTGCCCCAGACAAAGTGCTGGCCCCTGGCCAGCCCGGCTCTGCCCTGCGGGAGAGAGATCCCAGCCCCTCGCCCTGCACTCTGCCCGGCTGCTTTTCCCAGGCCGCGGCACCGGGGGCACCTGCGAGGGGTCCTGCGCGTCTGTGTTGGGGGAGGAGGCCTGAAGGCCCTGCCCCCGCCACCCCTGGCACAATGGAACCCCTCGTTCAGTGGGTAAAGACAAGTTTCAGATGAGCTCCACCCAAACTATAACAGGAAACGGCTGAGAGAATGCGATCGTACTCTGCTTCCCACCCCCAACCCCAAACAGGGCAGGTGACCCAGGGGATCTGCAGGCAGGAGGGGCTGTGCACCACCCCATGCCCACCTCGCCAGCAAGACCCCTGGAGCTGTGTGCAAGGGTACAACGTTCTGGCCACCTGGCAATGCAGGGGAAACGGGGCCCAGAGGGCATCTGAAAGCAATTCTTTGTGGGGATGGACAGGGAGAAACATTCTGGGGGCGTCCCTGCCAAGGAGGGTTGAGCGGCCATCGGCTGGGGGCCCGGCAAGCCCCACCGCTCCGGACCACAAGCAGGAGTCTCCAGATTCAGGACTTGGGGTTTGGGGGGAGGGGTGCGGGGGGCGCATCTGCCCTCGCAGGATCCAGGCCTTTCCTTCTTTGAAAGTCTCTGAATTTTCACATCAAAGCCCTTCTGCTCTTGGTCCTGCTACTGCCGATCTCAGCAAACTTCCCAGGCCTGGGCCAGGGCGTTTGCATCAACCACACAAGAAGTTGCTTGAGATCCAAAGACGTTTGTGTTTTTGTTTTCTCAGGCGTGTTGGCTAAAGTGGTTTTGATATTCACCCCCTGTCATAGGATTGCTATGGGGCTGGGGGACCCTAGCAGAGTAGAAGGGCCCGGAATGACCTAAACCACTGCCCTACAGAGACACTCCCCCCCCCCAACGCTGCGGGGAGCCCACAGGCCACACCACAGCCACCTCAGAGCCGGGGCCGCTGCTCCGGTCTCCCCTGGGTGGCCTGGCCCCTCGGCCACCCCCGCAGCCTGCCTGCCTGACCTCTCCCCTCCGCGGCCTGCCGCTGCCCCCTTCAAACGGCGGTTCCTATGCCCTGCACACCCGAGCGGGGGCTGGAAATGGGCTTCCATTTTTGCACGTGCTCTTGGCGCGAGGCAGGCTCTCTGTTCCGAACCAGTGTCACCTGAGGCGCCAACTGCAGTGCTCGGCTGAAGGCCGGCCCCCGGGACCCGGGACTCTGCATTTCCAAGGGCCGCGCCGGGAACCTGCGCGCTGCAGACTTGGAGCTCCGCAGCGGCCCTGGGGGTGGGATCTGGCATTTCTGCACACCTGAAGGGAGGGGCCGGCTCCCCGCGGAGCCGGTTCCACCCTCTCCTGCCCACCTTGGGTTTCCAGGCACCCCCAAGACTGACGCCCAGGGGCCCCGGCAAGGGCTGCGGAGCAGCCACCTCGGAAGCCATCCCGGGCCTGAAGACCCCCAGCCTAGCCGGCCCCGCCCACGACGGCGAGCCCCGCCCCTCAGCCCCTCCACAGTTCTCGAATTCAGTGACCCGGTGCTACGCGGCGTGAGGCCACAGTGAAATTGACCGCACAAACATTTTCTCACCATTCAGTCCCTGGCCCAGCAGGGGCCTCGCCCCCCAGAGCGCTCCTCGGCCCGGCCACGCCCCAAGTGCTGACCCCGCCCCCCGCGCTCAGGTCCCGCCGGCCTCGGCGCGGGGCTGGGTCCCTCCCCCAGGCCACACCCACCGCTGCGGTGACGTTCCTAAACTGAACCCACACCCCGACACTAACCCCCGCCCCCACCTGGGTCCACACGGCCTGAATTCTGACTCAGAATGCCTACAAATGGCCTCCTTCAGCCTGGGCCCCCCACCGGCCACGCGGCCTGCGGGGGCCACGGCGCGGGCCCAGAACGCGGGGGCAGCCCTCCGCGCGGAAGGCTCTTCCGAGACCCGCGGTCCCGGGCGCCTGCAGACCTCGGATGCGCTCAGTACCAATTAAACCGAGAGAAGGCTGTAATTTTTACATCAGTTCTTGAGTCATCCTGTGAACTACTTCACAAATGAGAAGACGAAACCTCTGATAACAAGGAAACAGCGTGAGTATACAGGTTTTTGAACTCGCCCGAAATGTGGACGAGTTAAGTGCCATCGAAGGGCTCACGTGAGCGCAGAGGAAATACACGGTTCTTTCAACCAAACTGGGGCAGAAAGGTTGCCATGTATTAAAAAAGGTTTTCCTCCCACATTTGTGTTTAAGAAGCCACCAGCCACATGAATCGACCGGCAGGTCAAGGGCCCGCGAGATGGGAAGGGACGCCCTGGGGTGTAGGGCGGTCCGCGGCCGCCAGGCTGCCGGCTCAGGCCGCCCACCCCGCTGCAGGTGCCAGGTGCCTGCTCCCGCAGCCGACCCAGGCAGGTGAGCGCGGGGCCGGGAAGGGGGCAGCGCAGACTGACAGGCAGTGGGCAGGGCGCTCCTTTCTAGAGAAAGCGCGGCCCCACCAAGGAGCCCCTTGGGTCGGGCGTGCCCCCGCCAGCCGGATAGGCGAGGCTCCCACAAAGAGCCGCGGACAGGGAACCAGGACCGCCCCCCGCGTCCGCCGCCGCAAGCTCTGGTTTCGACAAATTAAACCTTAGAGCGCTGTAAAAATTACAGGAAGAGGAGAGCGAAGAATGTGCCGAGTGGCTAGAGGGAGCGCTGTCCCCGCGTGAACTTCGCCCGCCGCGCGCCTAGCCCTGCCGGCCCCGCCCCTCCGAGCGCGCGCGGGGGCAGCGAGGGAGGGACCAGAGCGAGGGCACCCCCTACCTCGCGGCTGTCGGGTGCCACGGCCGCCCAGCTCCCCGATCGGCCCCCGCGGCCCCCGCCAAGCTCGCCCGCACCTGCCCGCGCCGTCCCCGGGTCTGGGCGGGGTCCCCGCCCCCAACCCAGATGACGACATCCGCCCCCGCGGCCCCGCCCGAGTGCGCCCGGGGAGGGGGCGTGCCCGGCGGGGGCGCGGTCGCCTGGCGGGTGCCGGCTCCGAGCGCTGGGACCCGCCTCGCGCGGCGCGCGGCGCGCGGGGCCGACCGCACGACCGAGCGACGGGGGTAGGGGCGAGGCCCCGAACGTTCCCGGCCCGATCGCCCTAGAACCCAGCCGGCGGCCCCGGGGGCGTGGCCCGGCGGCTGGCACTGGCCCCTGTCCGCGCGCTCCGGGCGCCCGGGCCGCCCCACTGACCTGTGTGAGTTCTCAGGTGCGCCTTGAGGTGCGAGGATTTCCCGTAAACTTTCTCGCAGCCCGCGTAGTGACACTTGTGCTTTCTCTGTGGGGACTCGAGGTCGGAGCGACTTCGGCCCCGCCGGCCCCTTTGTCTGAGGCCGGGCTCGCCGCTCCCCGCGGGCCCAGGCTCCCTGTCTGGCTCCAACTCCACCTCGGGCTCGGGCTCGCTCCACGCGGGGCTGAGGGGCGCGGCCGCCGCGCCTTCGCCGCCGGGGGAGGCGGGCTCGGGGACCGGGGGAGACGCGGGCGGCAGACGGCAGGGGGTCCTCGCCTTCCGGGCCGCGGCGCCCTCTCTGCGCTCCGCCGGGGCGGGCGCCGGTGCTTGCTGGTTTAGGTCCGCCAGGATCCGCGCCACCACGAAGAGCGAGGCGCTGTCCTTGCCGTCGCGGCGCTCCTCGACGCGGGGCAGCGTGGCGGCGACAGCAGCGGCCGCGCCCTCGGGTCCGGGCTCCGGCCCCTCCCGCGGCCCGTGCACTACCGCGCGGCTCGACATGGACACGAGGCACTCGGCGGCGAAGTGGTCCACATAGGCGGCGGCTGCCATGCTGCGGGCTCCGGCCGGCGTGCCGGCGGCACTGCTAGTCGCTGCGAGTCGTCAGCGGCGCATCCGCACCCAGAGCCTCCGGAGAGCGGGCGGGGGGGCGGGGGCGCGGCGTGCCCTCTCCGCGGGCTGGGCTGGGCGCGCAGCCGCCTCTGCCGTCACCCGCGCGGCTCCGCGTCCACGAGGCGCCCGCTCGGCGGGACACCGAAGAGTGAGCGCATGGGGGGGTGGCGCAAACCAGTGGGGTCCCGGTACGGCGTCAGGGGTGGCCTGTCCTAAGGATGCCGAGCGGCGACGTTAGGGACGACCGCGCCAAGTCGCGGCCGCAGCTTCACCGCGCATTGTGGCAGGCGGGACAGTCGCCGTGCGCGCCGCGGCTCGGTGTGGGCGGACCGGCCCCGGGGGTGGGCGGGGCCGGGGCCACATCTGGACCCGACGTCAGCCCCCAGCCACATCCTGGCGGCGCAGGTTACAGGCGGCGGCCGCCGCGGGGGCTGCGCGCGCGGAGGGGGCGGGGATCCTGGAGCGCGCACCGGCAAGATAGAGCGGTCGCGCGCCCCGCCTGGAGAGGGGGCGTAACCAAGGTCAGAGGCGGGCCTCATTGGTCCGTGGGTGCGCAGCCGGACCAATCAGGGCCGCAGGAGGAGCCTACCCCGCCTCGGGGCCTACGCGCGACAATGGGCGTGCCCCCTTGCCGGGCTGGAGGAGGGGCGGAAATTAAAGCTGGGAGTTGGGCACGCTGACGCACGTCGCCCGAAGGCGGTGGGCCGGGGCGGGGCCGCTGCCAGCCCTCCCCCGCCGCGGGGACCCCGCGGGGTATTTTCCTGCCAGACCTTTTGTACTGTGACAGCCAGGAACCACGGTGTGGAGGCGAGCGCTGGGGAGGGCGCCCCTTTGTCCCTCCAGCCCCGCCCGCGAGGGGCGCCAAGGGTGGGTGCGCCTCCCCTGGGCTCGCCTCCGCTTCTCTTCCCCTTCCAGCGCGAGGTTTGCACCGCGAGGAGGCGTGTCCGCTCCGGCCGGGTGCAGGGCTGTCCGCCGCGCCTGGGGGCGGAACGACTGCCGCCGCACCCACCACAGCCGGGCTCCTGGAGGGCCGCGCCCGGAGACTCAGGCTGTTCCTCCCCCTTCCCCCTCCATGCTCTTCCCTAGCAGAGCTCCGGACCTTCGGCGAGTCCCGGCCGGGAGCGGGGTCACGACTGGGGCGGAACCGCTCCCGCGGGAGGCAGCGGGAGCTTCCCCGACTGGCCCCAGGCGGCTGGGGACCCGGTGTGGGCCGCGCTGCCCTTGAGCCTGGGTCAGCCGGAGAGCCGGACTGGCCCCGAGCTGGCGTTTAACCTGGCAGCGTGGGTGTCGTGCCCACCGCCGCTCTGTGCTTGCAGGAGTGAACTACGTGCTGGGCGGCCAGCGCGCTGTTCAGGGAACGCGGGGCCCCTTCCTCCCCCTCCCCGCCCCGCCCCAGGCCTGCTGCCAACTTCTCTAGGCTGCCCCTCTCCCACCGCGGTCGGGGCGGCTTCAAACGCTGCCAGCTGCGGGGACCCCGCCCACCGCGCCCCACCCACCCACTGTCGAACCTCGTGAAGGAAATACTCCGCGGCGCCCAGCTCGCGTCTTCCCACCCGGGCCCCGCCAGCTTGCCCTTGACTCTCAGCGGCGCCCGCGGTCTCACCCGCTCCGCCCTCGCCATTCTCTTCCAGGCCTGTGCCATCACCGGAGTGGCCGGTGCATCACTTCCTTCTGCCTCGGCACCGAGCGCAGCAAGCCCCTCTCCGGATCCTCGTCCGCAGCCCCTGACCCAGGGAGCTGCTGAGGCCGGGGCCTGCAGCCCTGGGCTTAGCCGCCCTGACGGGGGCCTGGAGGGGGCTTCCCTGGCACGCGCCCCCTGTGGACCGAAGAAGGGGGGTGGGTGAGACAAAGTCGTCCCGCGCACGAATTAGGAGCAGGCATTTCTCCATTTCGGGGCTGGGTAGAAAAAAACTTTTTTGCCAGGTAACCAAGGAGGGAGGGACCGGAACAGGCATTCTGGGGTGCGTGTGACTGGTGACCTGTAAACTGGCGTGGACGTTTCGGCACCTAAAACGCGAAACCCCCCTCACCCATCAAGCCGGGGGCCCTCTGAGAAGGCTCGGCACGGCCCGCTGAGCCCGGGTGGCTCCGGAGCGGCCGGCCGGGTCTAGGCCTCCTAAGATGGTCTCTTTTTGGCAGGATGTAGCCGTTCTCCTTCCAGGCAGACGGTGTCGGTGACATTTCAGAGATGTGTGTTCTGATCGAATTATGATTCAGAATGTTCCTCCAGCCCCACCACATGTCACCGTCAGTCACTTCATTGGGGCTGGCGCCGGCCCCGCACTGACTTACCTACCGGCCCTCCAGCCCCGCCAGGTCCCGCTCCAGCGGGCGGGATTCTGCCCAGCCTGGGAGGCACTCCATTCCTCCGCGACCGCTGCTGTGACACCCCCCGCCAGCGCTCACACCGGTGGCCGCCTCCGAGTCTGAGTGCGCACTATTCTAAGCGCGAGGCAAGACGCCACCCTGGGAGAGGGGAGGCCTGCCTGGGTCAAGGGTCCCCTGCACCGATACGCATCACACACACGTCCCACCTCTGCTGTGCAGCCCTGTGACATTCTGGATGCGGAACTCAGCCCCTGGGCTCGCTTCTCAAGCGTCTGATAATGGTTCTGGGGCTCCTGAAGGAATGGTATCCTCAGGCCTGGGCAGCCTTGACCCCGAACCCACGTGCAAGTGTCTTCCAGACAAATACAGTTCTCGTTCCCAGAGAAAATCTCGTGAGAGCTTCGCTCCCCTGCTTTCCTCGCTGCCCAGGATTTTGAGAGAGACCCGGCTCCCGTCGGCAGGAGGGTGGGTGGGGATCGAGTGTCAGAGGGAAGGAACAGAGTAAACAAAAGCGGGGTAGGGAAGATCAGAGGAGAGATGTCTGCGGAGGAAGGAGGCTAGGCTGAGAAGGTGGCTGAGGTTTCTGGCGAAGGCAGTAGAGCGCCTGAGTCGCCTCAAACCCCCCCCTGAAACAGCAGTCAGTTTGTTTGTTGTAAAGCTGAAATGGGCAAGGGGGGAACTAACCGCAACACGATTTCTGAAGCTAAAATGCTCAGAGAACTGAGAAAGCGTACTCCTGAAACGGTAGCCAGGAAAGGAAGCCAAGAACAATCTCTGTCTTATCTCCAGAAAGTTCAGGAACGGTGGTGGCACGAGGTAACTCTGGGTGTGGGTGCAAATGTCGGGGGGGGGGGGGACTAACATAAGAATAATCGGCCAGAAGTCTGCGGAAGAAGCGCACAGAGGCCCAGATCCCCGCCTCAGTTCTGTGCGGCCTTTCCCCTTCTAAGACAAGACAGGATGTTTATTACCCGACGAAGCTAAAAGGGAGCGTTTGGGGCTGGAAGACACCAGGCACACTGAAGGGCAGAAGGGCCCATAGGAACACGAGGATTGGATATTGGATGCTGAGACCACGCCCACCTCCCCGCCCCCACCCCCCCATCCTTTCTGGGATTTCAGAAAGCAGACAGCCTATAGGCTGGAAGGGTGTTTCCCCGGGGCCTCAGACCAGGCCAAAGAGAACACCTGAACACTCTGATATATGCAGCTGCTCAAGTAATCAGCCCGACCACCCTAGGAGGGAAGGCCAAGGCTGATGAGCCCCCCGCTGGAGGACCCGGCTTCTAATCTGCCGTTCACAGGCAGCCACGGCTGACCTGGCGTGAACTCTAAAGCCCCAATAGATTCTTAAGGGGCAGAAAAATACACGGCCACAGAATTATCGATAATGTCATGGGAGACTATTAAGATAGGGCAACCCACGAAGAGAGGACATAGTCCAAGAAATAAGAATTCACAAACAGCGTTCTTGGGAATTTAAAGGAAGGTAGCAAAAATTTCTTAAACCCTGAAGAAATATTAAAGACCCTGAAGAGAGCGATCGGAAGAAAAAGTCGAGGACATCTCTGTGAAAGCAGAACAACAATAAAAGACCAAAAATGGGAAGTGGAAGAGAAAAAATATAGAGAACCATCAGAAAGTCCACTGATCAGCTAGTAGAACCCCCCCCCCTCATGGAATGATCATAAAAACATGGGCGCAGGGGGATGGATCATGAATGAATGAATCCAAGAAAAGTCTCCCCAGCTCAGAAACATGTGTCCGAAGAGCCCAGGACAAGAGGAAAAATAGCCCTACCCCAAGACACACATCCCTGTTGAAGTCCAGAATAACGGGGACAAAAACTGTCCTGGAACTAGAAGTAGGTCACAAAGAGAGAGTCAGGAGTCAGAATGGCTTGTGGGCTTCTCCACAGCCCCAGGTAGAAGGTGGAAGGCAAAGAGCAAAGCCTTGGGGAATCTGAAGGAAAATTAGTGTTCAGTCTTCAACCAGCCAAAGTATAAAGCGAGTTCTGGTGACTCTTGAACCCAGGGTGGGGCTGCGCAGGTCTGCTCACACACAAACTTTTGTTTTCAAGAAGTACTGTAAATATATTTTCCTTATGATTTTCTCGATAACATGCTCTTTTCTCTAGCTTGCTTTATTGTAAGAATATAGTATGCAATACTTACAACACACAAAACATGTGTTAGTCAGCTCTGGCCGGTGTGGCTCAGTTGGTTGGAACATTGTCCCATAGATTGAAGGGTCTCAGGTTCAATTTCCGGGCAGGGCACATGCCTAGACTGTGGTTCGGTCCCATTGATTGGCCAGTCGAGGCAGTCAATTGATGGTTCTCATATCGATGGTTCCCTCCCTGTCTTTCCCGCCCCCCAAATCAATAAGCATGTCCTCAGGTGAGGATTTAAAACAAATTTTTAAATGTCAACTGTGCAAGGTCGTAGCACCCCTAAACCCCTGTGTTGTTCAAAGGTCAGCCGTATTTTTAAATCCATGAGGTGTCAAAAAATTTACCTTCCATGCATCCTTTCTCATGGTGGGAAGCTACCAGAGATAACGCTTCACCAAAATGAAGACGTTCACCCAGAAAGAGAGAGGCTGGTGATCCAGGAAGCAGACATGCAGCACAGCGGGGCGGGAAGAGGCAGCTGAGGGCCACCGGGCCAGGCCGGGGCAGGTCAGAAGCTGCAGACACTCCTCCAAGAGGCGAACGAGACAGAATCTAGGCAGAGCCGGGATTCTGCTGCCGCACGAAGCCGGCAAAGCTCAGTGGTTTCTTTCTGACCCTGCTCTTCATTCATAGGGAGACAGGGGCGGCGGCTGTCCAGCAGGGCTGTCCAAGTTTTTGGCGTCTCTGGGCCACACTGGGAGAAGAAGAGATGTCTTGGGCCACCGTTAAATACACTGAGACACGTAATCACAAAAATAAAAATCTCATCATGTTTTAAGTAGATTTACAGTTCTGTGTTGGGCCGCATTCACAGGCATCC